CTTGGCCGCAGGTGGTGCCGCTGGTGCAGCATCAATGTGCTTCGTTTATCCGCTTGACTTCGCTCGAACACGTTTGGCCGCTGATATTGGCAAAGGTGCCAGTCGAGAATTCAAGGGCCTTACCGATTGTATTGTTAAGGTGTTCAAATCCGATGGTCCTATTGGTCTGTACAGGTAAGATGGTGGTTCCGTTGTTGTCATTATTACTGTCAGCAAAAGGCAAAATAGTCGCCTCACTCTTGCTGGAAATATTGTATAGCGCATTTTGATCTTTTAAAACGTCTGACAATCATTTCGTACCTGTTGCCAGTTAAGATGATTGCATCGAGTTATGCGCTTGTTTGAGTTTAGTCCTAAGGGAACTGACAGCCAAGTACCATTGACTGACAAGGGTAACTGAAGTAGTACTGACACAATAGAAGGTAAATGAAGAGGTTCCGAGGATAAATCATAAGAACTCTTGGAAAATTATGTCCGAAAATATATGTTAGCTTAATCTTACTGGCTGAATTTCTATTGGCAATCTACGATGGATGACAACGATTCACCTGAGTAAATATGATGATCAAATATACAGAATTGAAAAATTCCTCATTCCATTATATGCGAAACAAGATCGCTAACAAAAAAACACTGAAATCATGAGATAGCATCTAATTTCGCGTATGGTTTCAGAGGTTTCTTCGTATCCGTTCAAGGTATAATCATCTATCGTGCCGCCTACTTCGGTATGTTCGACACTGTTAAGATTCTGGTTGCTGCTGACAAGAAGCTCAACTTCTTCTTCGCTTGGGCGATCGCACAAGTTGTAACTGTCAGTTCGGGTATTCTCTCCTACCCATGGGACACCGTCAGAAGGCGTATGATGATGCAGTCTGGACGCACAGACATCCTCTACAAGGTTCGTTAACGCACGCAAATTTTCTGCATATCTACAACAAATTCACGTTCAGCTTCTCAATGAGCATCTTCCCAAGCAATAAGGTTCAGTGAAAAACCCGGCTGAAAATGTAAAATTACGATAATTTAGCCAATATCTTCGACGCTATGAAAGTATTGCCGTAACAGTGTGAATTCTCATAAATTGCACGCAACTTCTAGAAAAGTTCAGTGTTAGATTACTTCAGAAGCAGATCACAATGTAAGCAGATCACGTTAATGATGAGTTGTTGATTAACGAATAGATGTCTGAACTCATTATGATAGTGATGATAAAATGTTTTCAGAACGCAGGTGATTGCGCCCTCAAGATCATCAAACAGGAAGGTATGGGCGCACTGTTCAAAGGTGCCCTTTCGAACGTTTTCCGAGGTACTGGTGGCGCGTTGGTGTTGGCAATCTACGATGAGATTCAGAAGTACCTCTAGAGAGAAGATATGAGAATCTTAGCAGATCTCGTTTTAATATCGACTCCCATTTGTTTGTTTCTTGTATCCTGTACTCGAGTAACTAATTGAACAACTAACTCATTAAGTAACTATTACTTGATTAAACTGGCTGATTCGTTGTTAACATTGTCGTCGTTCTAAAGTGTTAATACTATTATTTCATATCCCTTCGTAAAGAAGTATTGTTGATGAATATTACTGAAGCGACAAACAATAACGACTCTACTGCTAAGATCATCATCTTCAATTAGAAACAGTCGATATTCCCAAATAGAAATTCAAGAATTTTCCACCTCAGCGGATTGGATTTGATATTTTTTTCAGTGAACGAATTAATTAATATGTCATAGATTAATTGAATTGATCGTCGATTACGTTGATTATATTCTCAAACGTTGTTTTGTTATGTTTTGAAGTGAGCGATTGATTAAAAGAAACGTTAGGATTTGTGTTGTGTTTGTTGTTGTTCTTGTTTGATGTGTCGATCTGAACCTGGGCAATGAGCATCGCCTCAGGCTTGATGATCATTTTGATCATGTCAACGTGGATCAAATCATTGCCTAGTCAGTTTTGGATGACAAACAGAGACTTAGGTATGTTCACTTCAAGGCAACTTATCAATCAAATTGTAAAGGACGGCATAAGG